TGAGCTTTATCTCTTCAGGCAGGTCGTTCCAAAGCCGAGGGGCCTTGACAGAGAAGAACCGGAGTAGAATAGTGGGAGTGTCTCAAAATAGTACTTGAGTTGTTGTGTACGTTTACTTTGGGTTGGACGAGGGATTTAGTTGAGGCCTGTGAAAGAGCCGACTGTTACTGCTGCACACATCACATGACTAAGTCAGCAGGCGAGCTGGAGTTTTATTAAATTAGGCTGAGATTCAAGGCCTAGTCCACAGTTTTTGTCCGCTTTGAATATGAATTTTTGAATCGGTATAGACATGTTGCAGGCTTTACGAATGAAAAAAGCACTTTGTGGAAAGTCCACAAGTCTGGGTTTTTCAAGGTATACGTGTAACACCTCATTTTAAACACACACGTATGGCTTTAAATTCTAAGCTGTTACATGCTTTTTGCCCACAATCAAGAGCTCCATCAGCTGAGAGTGAAACAGTCTAACCAGTTCTATCTTTTTTCTTTTGCAGGCAATGTTCCTTGAACTCTAGTCCAACAACATTGAATCTAAGACACTGGAGGTTTGCGAGTGATGTGCCGGGAGGGAGAAGGTGAGCTATTTTCAGTTCCTTCAGAAACTACATCCAAAACTTAGTGTAACAGAAAATGTTCTGCAGAAACAAACCATAATGAACCATGAAACCAAAAACATTTGTTATCGCTGTCTTCGTTTTTGATAAAAAGTATCTACTGTATGTTTCATCTAAATGTAAATCCCAAATCCCAAAACACATCAACGCTGCAACAAATATCAATCACATCTGTCTTAACTTGGGTTCCTAGTTGAGTCAGTACAGTACGGTGTGATATTTTATTACACAAATAAACAACTCAGAATAAATGGGATGATTAAGAGCAGGAATCTGCATTTGTTAGAAACAGCTTCAGACATCACACTTCATTTTAAGTTGAACACTTTCTGAGGTTGTCATTGTTAGATCTCTACAAAATGTCATCATCTAAATCGAGCACAGCTCACTCTTACCTGAACCGGTATGTCAGGAACCGACGATCTCTCCTGGTGCACTGGTGTGACTGCTCATAAAACAGAGTAAAAGAGGAAGAGAGGCACATGGCCTGTAATTCACTTACTGATTCAGGAACTGAGCTGTGCGAGGGGGACTTACCCAGTGCCATGAAGCAAGCTTGGAGTTTGACATGTCTATCGACTGAATCCCGCTCTGCTCTCTTGCAATCTTTTCAAAAGTTACAGAAGACCAACAGTGGTGAAGAAATTGCTTATCTGAGTTTTGTTTGCATAACGACAGACTGAAAACTCAAGTATTAGGTTATTTGTCTCTGTCTGTGATACTGCTGAGATATCTGTTTTCTAGTTCCTTATGTGAACTTCCAGTCAAGAGTCACACAAGGAAGTAAGCACACATACCTGAAACCGGTTCCTCAAACAAGAGTTCAATCACAAGCGGCCGTACGGGCTCCTACGGCCTGTCTGGGTCCAAATTACGTGCAGAATGGCATGTGCCATGCAACTCCGTCTTGCAGGTCGCAGACAGCGCTTAGGCAGCTCAGTGAAGCTGACCCCNACTCACATAAAATGCAAATACTTGACCTTCCAGTTTCCATGCAGGCTGATGAATGCGTTGCCAATAGATAGTCTAACTGCAGAACCTGGCACCAGAGCCACTTCAGTCTTTGGTAATCCAATGTTGACTATTTGCATACTGGAAGAAGCAAAAGCAAGGGCAGTCAGTAATCCAGTTTCCAACCAAACTTGGCGGTGTGTTGTATAAACTGGTGCCTTACTTTGACAAGCTGTACTTGACCACGCCAATGTGCAACACCTTCCCTGACCCTGAAATGTCGGGGATTTTGATGGATTTGAGTTTCTGCTGCAGGGCGGCAATGCTCTGTGATTTTCCTACCAGTGGGCAAGAAAATTCAATGATGAAACTCGGCGCTATCACGTGACCACACACACACACACACACACACACACACACACACACACACACACACACACGTATGACTTGAAACTGAAAGAGGATACTTACCATATTCAAGGCCTTTTTCTGTAAGTTTGATCTTTACTCCAGGTTTGGTGCTTAAGGTCGCAGGGACTAGAGCCAGCAGCAGAGCCAGCCAGCACCTCAGGTACATCTTGACTTCTGGGAGATAAAGGACAAGATCATCAGCAAAATGCTCATATTTCTGTGAACACTGCATCATAACACAGGCCAAAGTCTACTGTTTTGCTGCTTTCTTGGAAACCAATAAATCAAGGCTTTCCTTTTTAGAGTATGTTCGGTATTGCCATGATTTACTAATGAATATACAAATCTATATAAATGACTAAATACAACAGTGTAAAAAATCTGTGTTTAAAATCCTGCGTCAGAAAAAGTAGGTAATAATAATATTATTTGTGTAGCACCTTTAAGAACAATAATTCACAAAGTGCTTTGATAGGTAGAACATAAAACATCAGGCAGGACAGGGTAAACACAGGTAAACACAAAATATTAAATAAAAAGTGCATGTGAATACACACTGTAAAAAATGAAAATGTACAGAATAGATGGCTAGTTAAAAGCTGGTTAAAAGAGAAGCTGAAGAGGAAATCANTGCTCATGCTGCAGGTCCAACACGGTGATGGAGGCCTTCTCTCCACACTCTGACACTGCCAGGTAACGCCGGTTGGAACTCATGGCCAGAGCACGTAACCCCTGACTTTTCTCTGAGCCTGTAGAGGCACAAAAGGAGAAAATTCCCGTCAGGGCCGCAGGGTGTCGACAGGAAAGTAATGACGAAAAAATATTAGCAAAGTTTCTTAAAAGAAATGCTGTCAGTAAGTTAGTGTGACTTTGTTGTAGGGGCATTGCCAGCCCTTGATACCCCCCTTGCCCCTTCCTGTTGGTATCATAGGAGACAGGAACCTATGGACTATATAACACTTCTGTGTTAGCAAGTGAGCACCAGCGGATTGAGCAAAACAAAACAGAGACAAACAGAGACACTTGTAAGTCTTGTAAATTCTGTTTACAAGCTGGCAGGGTTTCAGTTTAAGGACGTCCCGTCATCCTGGGGTGATTAAAAAAAATAGATCTGGTATGGTGCAAACGTCTCAGGACAAAAGTTACAACTTAATAACAAATGGCAATGAAAATAAATATGATTTCATGTTTTGTGTAGCACCCACACAGATCCTGACAACTTGGAGGTGACAGATAGACTGCAGTGTCACTGTCACCCCCGGTACTGACCTCCAGCGTAACACCGGCCAGCAGCATCTCATCTCCCATGCTTCCATTGTAGACACGTACTAGCTGCTGACACATTTTTACACATATTCTCTAATGATTACCTCTTAAAAACATCCGTGCATCAGCGATAAAGCCAATAGTGGCGTTGTGTGTGTGTGTGTGTCCGTCCAGCTTCTGTCAGTCTGCTTAGCTTGTCTCTGTGTATCAGGCTGGACAATCAGTGACTTAACTAACTCTTAGTGATATCAAGAGGACACTCCGCTCAGAAACAGTGAAGTCAGAGCAAAAGTGACTCAAGTCTCTAATCTTTTCACATGGATTTGTAGAAAATCATGCCGCTGCTTCAAACATTAAAAGGAACTCAAAGGTAGATTTACTTAAAGCGATGCAAAGCTGACTATAATGTGGTATATCCACTCTTTGTTTGAAGCACTAATGCAATGTTGCTTGCATCATTACAGTTATTTTGAAATTGTGTACATTTACATTGTGTAAAAGTAATATATGGAGAGCTGTTTGAGTCTCATGGCATCACACTTAGCAGCTGATTTAGCTGCAGCTTATTTTCTCTTCAGAGTTTTTTGATTCGTTTTTTGAGGTTAATTATTTTACCACCACTGTTGAGATATAACAATAGTTAGCATAACACTCATTTCTATTTTTTACAGAGGACAATCAAATCTTTCTTTAAAAAAGCAGAGTAAGGAGAACTAGCAGGCTTTGTTCTTTTAGCAGGCTATAGTGACAATATTAAAACAATACAGCTTCAGTGACCTTGTTCTTCAGGAGCTTGGATGTTGACGATGACACTCATATTTTATTTCTGAACACAGATGAAGCAGAAAGGACGGAGGAGGGAGAGAAAGAGATGAGAGAGAGCTACTAGTAGAAATGAGTCTGAATACCTGAAATGAACCTCTGACTCCTCTGGACGGTGTTGTAGCAAACACAGCTGTTCCCGCTGGGGAACACGAGCGTTTCTTCGTCACAGAAACACAAACCGTTTTTCACACCGGTCCGCAAACCGAAAATAAAACGAGACTGAGCAACTACAGCGGCCATTTGAAAGCTCTCCGTTTTTTGTTTATTTAAAATTTAAGGCTTTAAAACGGCCAAAACCTACATTAACTTTAGCTAACGCTGGAGTTGATAGACACCGAGTAAGAGTAAAGGTAAGTTGCCTAGCGACGTTGGGGGTCATGTCACTAGGCAACGCCGAGAATCCCGTGAGAACTTGAAAACCATCGCGTGAATTACATCTTTTTTTATTATTATTATTATTTCCAGGCATACAGAAATACAAAGGCAGGACAGAGTCAAATGAACCATCACAGTAGGTGACAATGATAAAGACAACAATTGCTTTGACAGGATCAATTTGATTACACCAGAGATTATGTTGACTGTAACAACAATAATAACAGCTTTAACAGGATCAATGTGATTACACCAGAGATTGCTATTATCAGCGTTCTGAAAATAATCAGCACCAACAGTAGCACCAGAGATAGACACTTAATGCAAACTTTATCCCGCATTCATAAGGATATATGTGTGTGTATACATAAACCTGAAAGTAAATTTCCCAGTTTAGTCAATGACCTGGTTATCAGAAATAATTCCTAATCTATCCATGATGTCCAATGTTTAAACAGCTTTTTTATTATCATAAACCGAAGATATATGCATGAAGTAATTATGAATTTCTTTCACCAATACAGAAAAGTGTTTTTTTTTTTCTTACATAGATTGATTTATTATGACTTGTAATATTTTGATTATTCCATAAGGTAACTTGTGTGCTGAAAAGTTGTGCTTATAGCACAATTTCCAGGCTAATAGTGCTTGTTGATGGAAGGCACTTAGTTTTAACGGCAGCTTTGCAATCTTATAATTACACCCTAGAAGAAAAGAGAGACCACCAACCTTTTAACATGTATTGGCTGGGTTAAAAAACCACATTGAATCTGAGTTTCCTCTATATTGTTTAATTCATTTTATTTTAAATGTGTTGTTCGTCTCGGTAAAATCTAATAAATCTAGGCCACCAGTCTCTTTTGCCCCAATAAGTACAGTTCTTTTAATACGATGACCTTTATTTTTCCAAATGAAGTTTGTAATCATCCTATTGACCTTAGTGCATACTTTGTCGCTAACGATAAGGGACAAAGCGGGGTAAACAAACCTGGAGTCACCTTCAGCTTTAGTCAGTGACGTATGTCCCCAAATTGAAATGTCTCTTTGAGACCACAAGTTAAAGACAGTTTTAGTTTTAGTCATTTTGGGCAAAAAGTTGAGATCCTGCATTTCTTTTTCAGATTTGCATACATAAATGCCCAAGTGTTTGATCTTTTCCTCAATATTACAAATTACATCATCATTGGATTCATACAAACAGAGGATTTAGACATATTGAGTTGCCATCCCGAAGCACATGAGAATGATGAGAGAGGTCTGTAATTTTCATCATAGGTACACTTTAACAATAAGAGACAAAATGAGAAAAAAAATCTAGGAAATCATATTGTGGGATTTTTAAAGAATTTATTTGTAAATTATGTTGGAAAATAAGTATTTGGTCAATAACAAAAGTTCATCTCAATACTTTGCAACGTAACCTCTCCCAGAACCTGAGAGGTCGAGCACTCGGTCATGCGTCCCTGAGAGACTCAGCGGAGCTTGGTGAGACTCTGAATACGTGTTCTCGGACACAACCGTGATCCAAGTACGTCGCTGATTCACTCGGGTGACACCACATGAAACAGTTATCGAGACACCTTTCCTTCTTCTGTTGTCTGATTTGGAAAAATGCACTGAGGCTGTATTTTTTTGTGGGAATTATCATTCTTTTAGCAGAATTAAAATTAATTTAGATGCTTCTTTGAAAGTTCTGTCTGGTAGTTGTTCTCCAGCTGTGATTGTGCTTTTATTGCGGCATACCCAAGTGCAGAAGACAATCCTCTGGAATGCAGTTCAGCCTGTGAGCTGAACATCTGTCCCAATCAGCATGTAGTCCTAAAAAAGATGTAGNTGAGGATAAAGCGGTGTATAGAAAATGGAAATGGATGCATCGGACTGAGTTTATTCATAGTACAAACAAAGACCTGCATCCTCCATTGCATGTGTTTGAGAGAGCCAGAGAGGGGGTTGAGGCTGAATTAGTAATAACATTATAGCTTGTTGCAGAAAACGTAGCCAAAGTTAGGTGGAGTAAATAAATTTTGCAGCACCAGGAGGAAATGGTGTCTTTAACTCAGTATGAATTGTCTGCATGCACTGAACACGTAAACATACATTGTGGTGGTTTAAAAATCTGCTGATGGAGGTTGTGGTGAGCGAATGTCTTTCTGTTTGGGCTCCTTTGGGGCTCCTTCCTCTGGGTTGGGATGTGACTTCTTCTTCTTCAGGGCGGCCAGCTGAACTTTGTAGTCTTTAACCTGAGTCCTCAGCAAATGCAGCTCCTTGCGCAATTCATTGATTTCAGTGATCAGAGTCATGTTCTCCTGCAGAGACAACAATCATTGTTAGAATGACACTCATTTAGCAAACCTCTGCTCCACATTAGATTCTTTTAGGACTACTGGTATTGCAATGAACATGTCGTCCATTGTTGTGATCAGTGTTGTTACTTACCTTCATGATTTTGACGTAGACTTTCTCGTGCTCCTCAGCGGATAAGGCCAGCTTGTTCTTAAGACTAGTAATAGTCTCCTCCAGGTGATCACAGTGTTTGCGAAATGTCTTCTGAATATCATCGTCTAAACTGCTTTTCTCCACCTTGGAACCAGCGTACACAGTTACAGTCTGAGGGAACTGTTATGCATCCAGTTCTACTGCAGTGTATGAAACACACTCACCTCATCAGTCTGCTGGACATACTTGGTGTAAATCCTCTTTACACTGTCTTTCAGTTTTTTTGGATCCTGGATGAAACTAACACAGTTATGGAGGTCTGACCTGAGTCGCTGAAGATGTGTCTCCAAATCTGTCACCTGGAAGACATTAAAGAGCAGGTTCCTGTTTATTCAAACCTTATGTTTTTGCCCATAAGCTAAAGCTTCAGCAGCCAGAGTTAGATAAATAAAGTGGGTATCTCTAAATCCTTTTAACACAACTTTATCTTGTGCTGTTGTCTCTTTACAAAACAGCAGAGATATCCCTTTGCTTTGACTAACTCAGACTATGAGCTTCAGCTGGTCTTTGGAATACATTGTTTGACAGAGAATGATTACTGTGGATTTCATACAGACACCGAATGTGCTTACTTTCTGCATCTCTTTGTGCATCTCTTTATCTCTGGTCTTCAGTTTGAGTCTCAGGTCAGAGACAGTGAGCTGCAGCTGAGTGTTGCTCTTCTCGGTTTGGAACAGCGCCTCCTCCAGCTGTCAAACAGGCGAAACAGCACTCAGACACGATTTGTACAGACCACGAGTGCAGTGATATCAGATTAAATCACATGATGCAATCTAAACACAGCTGGAGTGCTGTCTAGATTATTTAACAGTTTTTACAGCGGCATCAAAAAGTAAGGGAACCCTTTGGAACGGTCTGTATTCATGTGTAAATGTGTCTTGAAATCTTGAAAAGTTACAACCATGAACAAAAACAATCTACTTTAAGTAAAAACATCCTTATTATTGTGGTGTTCTTTTCCAAAATAAATATATAATTCAAACATTCACAGTGTAATGTAGAAAACATATGAGAATCCTAAGGCCAGTGACATTAACAAAAACTGACATGCACTTGCAAACATGGAAGGAAGCCAGATTGGAGGTTGGTTTGTGCTACTTTAAATTACGATAAAAAACAAAATTCTAATTTGCTATTGCCATCCCCACAAAGACTACTGACTCACAAAAAAGGGAATTCAAAAGAATTATCACTGAGAATGTTGATCTGAGTGAAGCCAGAAAGTAATTTTATAAAGTTTATGTATACGTCAGCCCACAGGCTCTAACCTAAGATGACTCCAAAAGTACAACACATACTCGGTGAGATCAAAAGGGAGTCCAGATTAATAACAGAAGGCTTAAAGGAATCAGTGGAGCTGGAATATCTCTGTTGATTAGTCTAACACACACACAAATCATTGATCAGGCATGATGTCCACTGCACAGAAAAAGCCACTGTTCTCCAAAATACACCACTGCTCAATGCTGAGGATAAGGTCAGAAAGAAATCTGCTCACACACCTGACGGATCCTCTCCTTTTTCTCTTCTATGTCATCTCGTTGAGGCTCAGTCTGCTTCTTTAACTCGCTCAGCTGGAATTCAAGAACAAACTTCAGCTTCTCCAGTTCCTGGTTCTTCTTCTTCAAGCCAGAGATGGTGTTATCCTGTGTGTACATGGATAGGTGGTAGGATTTTAGTAGATGTTTAATGTTTACAGAGAATTGACTGACGTACACCTTTTGGCTCTTTGTCATCCCTCATTTAGTAGATGTATCCATGCAGGAGCAGTTTCAAATCTGTCACTCTCTTCTGTTGTGTTACAGTTCTAAGTCTGCCAATCTAATCTTGTTTGGTTGTCAGTGAAATGAAAACCGCCAGGAAGCCCTGATCTCAGCCACCTTGTCCTGGCCGGTCTTCTCATGTCCAGAGATCTGCCTTTTCAGGTCCTCGATATCGCTCTCCAGGGAGCGGATCAACTCCAGCAGCCTCTGCCGCTCCTGCTTTAGCTTGGTAATGTCAGTGCACCTGTCATCAATCTGTCTCTGTAGACCGTAGAACTGTCATTAACAAAGAATAAGACATTTCATGAGAAAATAGAGAGAAAGAAAGATAGGGGGAGATATATCAAAAACGGACAAACTTCTATCAAAAAATCTAGAATGTTATGAGTTTCTACTCTGAATAAATGCTCTTTAATCCAGCAAAAAATTCACTGAATGCCAGGAGCTGTTGTCACCTTTTGTGTCAGGATAGCATTTTCTCCCTTCAGATTTGTGTTGATCTCTTTCTCAGTGAACAGTTTCTTCTCATACTTGATTTGGATGTCATTGATCATCTCCTCCTCGGTTTCCTCTGTTTGCTTTATGATCTCTTTAAATGTCCGGATCTGCTGCTGGGCGTCCCCCTGACACTGCACAAAAATAAAAACAGAACAAAAAAAAAAAAGTGGTCCTAAGAACTTCACTGGTTTCAATCTAGTTCATGTCCCACTATCTGGCCATCAACACTCTGCCACTCGCTTCTCTTGTTGCTCCCCCCTGACTAACCTGAGCCAAGAGCTGAGTCTTTTCCTGCAGCTTGCTCTCACATTGCTGTGTGAGACACTCCAGTGCCTGGGTTTTGTGCTCTTCTGCAGACTTCAGCTGCCTTTCATATTCCTTCTGCATTCTTTCATATTTTTGCTGAAGATCCTGGTACTTCTCGTGCTCCACAATCAGCTTCTGGCTGCAGGATGACTCTGTTTATGATGTATGGACAGACAAAAAAAAAGAACGACTGCTTTTTGACTCCTCATAGAAACAAAGATGCAGTATCCCTCCTGTCGTCTTCTTACCTAAATCCTTCAGCTCCTTTGAGTGTTTCATAGCAACCTCTACAGAATTCTCCTGGTTCTCACGACTCTGCTTTTCCATCTCTGTCTTCATGCTCTACAATTGCAGTAGGATGAATGATTCATTAAAGGCAGAAGAAACCACTGTACTGACTCAAAAGAGGAAAGCAAATCCTTACAACAAATCAGCTATCATTCTTTTAAAAGCATACCACTAGGAAGTAATGAAGTATACAATTAAAAGGTAGATAATTAAAGTAGAGGCAGGCAGTATGTTTTGCTGTCCTTGAGGAAAAATCCATGATAATCTTTCAGTATATTGTAATTCAGGTGGCCTAAGAGGACACTAGAATTTTGCACCTCCTATTGGCTCTGTTTTAGGGTCTTTAGAAAATCCAGTGTGTTTTCTGGTGGGAGGGGCTTAGAAAAGAGAGGGGAGAGGGAAGAGCCGTAGGAGGTAGGCTGCATTATCAAATTTTAACACAGGTTCTGGTAGATTCTACAATTTCATTTGGCAGACGCTTTTATCCAAAGCAACGTACATCTGAGAGCAGATACAACACAAGCAAGGATCTAGTCAGGAGAAAACAATCTAGATAAGTGCCACAGAACAAATTCAAGTGTGATAGGGCGTTGATGCCAATAGCAGGCTGTGTGGGAGGCAATAGGATTTTTTTATATTTTTTTCGGGTTGTCAAGTGCAAAGGAAGATATAAAAGAAGGTCTTGAAAATGTTACTGTACAGCTGTCTGTTAGCTGACAAGCGGCAGACCTGTTGTGTTGTTTTCAAAAGCTCTATTTGCTGGCTAAACTTGTCAGAAAGCTCCTTGAGCTTCTCGTTGTGGTTCATGTCCCTCAGGCGGAGCTGGTACTCGCTCTCCATCTGCAGCTCCTCCAGACGCATCTTCAGCTCCAGCATGTTCTGGCTCTGAAACACAGATGGATGGGATAATCTGACTATCGACAACTGAGATAACAGAAGGAGCAGCATTAAAACAGTGGCCTGGGAAAGTTGTGGCCATCAGCTAACAACCAACAAGATCAGCAGCACTCTCAGCTGTTTTGAGCAGTTTAACATTCATTTCAATGCTGATAAGGGAGAAATACTTGGCGAATTTAATGAGCTTGTAGTTGTAGATATTGGCTGCAACAGTACGATCCATCAGGAGTAACCTATTCAACATTTCGGATTTTGATGTAATAGAGTGTTTCTCTCTCTCTCTCTCTCTGCCACCTTCTCCTCCAGGTCTGACTTGGTGACAAGGATCTCCTCTGTGTGGACGATCTGCGTATTGCTCTTCAGTCTTCGGCCCTCCTTATCGATGACTGTCCACACCAAGAGACAGCCGTCCTCAGACACTGTCAGGAGAAACTGTTCGTCGTATGTGATCGCCATCTGAGGATGCACACAATTTGGTCAGTGGACTCGTTTCTAAATTAGTTACCTGATGGTTGACATGACATATTATTTCAAATTACAGACAAAGGTGATGCAAGTCTGCTTCTCTGTCAGTTTAGTGCACATAAACATTTAGACTCACCTTGGTGACAGGTCCACAGTGAGCCTGGTACACGATCCAATCCTTCTGGATAGGTAGTGGGTATTTAATGGCCCTGATCGTTCCACTGGCGGTCCCGGTGAAGACCACCCTACCAGAGTGAGACACTGCGAGAGCAGTGTGAGCTACCTCATCAGCAGGAACCTCCTTAAGGACCTGTGAATCCAGTGTTTTAATACAGTTACTGCCATATAACACAGGTTGAAACTACTTCACATTTTAGTGGTTTTACTCTCAGGTATATTCTGTATACTCATCTTGTGGACAGAAACAGTGTATGAATGTAAACATTGTTCTGTGTAAATAAGCTACTTTTTGATAACAGTTTTTACACAACAGTTTTATATAACACCAATGTGTCACTCATTTTTTTGCAGTCTGTCAAATCTCTCTTGCCAGCCAACCACAGTAAGTCTGTGAAATCAACAGTGCATCAAAAGCAACGATAACATAGAACTGCTTTGTATGTATTCTGCTCAAGGGCATGCCTCGAGTGAAAATCTTGGGAAAATTCCTGACATATTTCATTCCTAAAATAGTGCTCCTAGATGGACTATATATGTATAGCTGCTCTACTCATTTTATTCTGTGGAAAATGAACAGAACAGATACAGAGGTGTGTTGTGGTGACTGACCTGACAATCTTGGATCTCCTTCAGTGTGAGGTCTGTGCCCACAGCCAGGATAGTCTTGCAATCTGCTGAGAAGGCAACACCTGTATAGCTGCAGGATTTGAGAATGCTCTCAGACTCCCGCTTGCCGGTCTGTGTATTCCATTGGTACACTGCACCGTCCATCCCACACGACACCAGCCTGCTGTCGTCCAGGCTCCATTTAATGCCACGTACCTACAAAAACACCATTAATATAAAGAAAAGAACAATGGGTTTGCTGTATTTACATTCTCCTGCTTGACTCACCTTTCCGTTGTGGCCCTTCAGACTGAGGATATTCTCAAAAGAGGTCACAGAGTAGATGTGAATGATGTTTCCACTGACTGCTGCAAACAAGTGGCCACCGTGGCTAAAAGCACACTAAAGGCACAGAGCAAAGCAGTCAAACAGGCAGAAGATCACCATCTACAAAATCTGCAATTCAGATTCACTGTACACACAATCAATACACATGTACAGCATACTTTACCTCTTGGCAGCTGCGTACAGTAAACTCCTTGAAGGCGCGGATGTCATCGATCACCAGGTTCATCAGCCTGAGTTTGTCTGAAAAGCCCACCAGGATGAAGAGGCCAGTGGGGTGTAGAGCTACACTGTGCGCCTCCTCCTGGAACTCCTTGTACAGCTCCAACACTCTGATGACAATTAGCAGAGGAAACACAGCAGCATGTCCTTGATGTGCTCGGTTCATTTTGTCTCTGCATGCATGCAGTAGTGACACTGAACAGAGAGCTTGATACGTCACTTTGATGTTTAATACTATCTGTGCTTCACTGTTAGTCCTCATCAAGCAGTAAATAATACAGCAACCTGCATAAGACTATGTAACTAAAAGAAGTTAATATATCACATACCACAGACAAAAAAGCGAAAGGTCTGTGTGTGAGTTTTTACTTGGTCTCATAGTTCCAGATGTGGACAGAGCGGTCCAGAGAGCTGGTGGCTACGAGGGGCTTGCGAATGCAGATGGACAAACCAGTGATGGAGTCGGAGTGGAAGGGCTGGGACAGAAACTCAAAATGCAGTTGCTCCTCCTGATGGATAAAGTAGCAAAGAGACATGAGCTTAGTGATCTAAAATTGAGGTGAAGTTGTTCTGATGCCTTAAACATCCTGGAAAGAAAGACAGCGGAGGCAGTCGAGAGGAAGAATGTGCCAAAGAAAGAATAGAGGAAAGAGAGAAAAGACAAACTTAACTTTAATTAAGACTTAAACATGCCAGTCCTGCTGAGATACTTCAGCACAGTGAGGCTAAAGAGCATGCTAACATTTTTTGAAAAACAACTGTGGATTGCGGGAAATAATTTGTTTTGGAGGTAAGGAACCAAAGCCAGTTAAAATTTTGAAGAGAAAAGTTAACAGATCACCAAATTATGAGCTATTACAATTCTTTCTAGGGAGGACATCATTTGTGTCCAACAAAACATCCTGCAACCCTTCAGTAGTTGGCTTCATTCACTGTGGACAGTTGACAGACAGCTGTCATTCACTGAGCCGTGCAGCACACAATGTTAAAGAAAAACAAAAAGGAAAAAATAAAAAACCCAAACATTGTTCTACTCAGAAAAATAAGAGAAATCAAATGCAAAGTAAACAGTAGTAACAACTAAACTGAATAGACGTTTGTGTTTGCTGGCCAGGCCAGCTAGTCTAGAAGTGGGTCTGGGGGAGAAGCTCACAGTGTGAGGATACAGGTTCGTAGTGAAACAGCACTGCATTAAAGAAAATAAATCACACACAGTGACCTCATGTTATTTATGCTGTCAGTAGATGTAACTGTACAGCACCTTGTTCATGTCCACAGAGGACAGACTGACACCATACAGCTGTCCTCGGTCAGTGCTGATGGCCAGAGTCTCTTCTGCTGGACTGATGCACATGGTGTAAACCTCTTGGCATTCTGCTGGGTTCAAATCATTTCTGCATGGAGGGATCTGACACAAATACAGTCACACAGTGTATTCAAAGACATCGCCACTGTGGTTTTAATTTCCAGCTTGAACACACCTTCACCTCCCTACTCTTTCTGTAACTGTCTTCCTCTGTCTTTTCAAACAGACAGACGGTGCCAGGACCCACAGAGCACACAAAACCCTTGGAGTAGGACAGGATGGCTGTGATGCGAGGGACAGCGGGACTTTCATCCACATCCGAGTCTGTCATCTTCTTCATCTCCACTTGCCTGTGCAGTGACGTTATAACTTGAATGAACAGACACATTGAGCAAACACAGCGGTCAAAGGTGAATCGAAAGAGTGAAGAGAACTTGTGTAAAAAATATATTGGTATTTTTATTGGCCATTTCCTGCTACATTACATGTGCTACTTCAGGTCTGATGCAGCCGCCTCTCTGTGACTTTATAAGACAATCTGTCTATAAACATTGTTGCCACAGAATCAGTGTGGTCCAACCTCTGACCTGTCAGACTGTCCCTGCACAGCCTTAGATGTCGCCTTGACCTCCCTTCGCAGGTCTCCGTACTCAAACACCAGCAGCCTGCCTGTGTCCGTCCCAGCAATCACCCTCTCCTCCGACATCCAGGCATGGCACAGGAAGTTGATAGACTCCACCTTTGCAAAGCTGCTCTGTTTTATGGCTCCCTCCGAGTAGCGGAACAGCTTGAACACACCACTTCCAATCACACAGAGCTGCATGTTGTTATAAGGGTTGAAGCTGACCTGTTAAAGTGGCACAATATGTTCAGTGTACAAGTATAAGTGCTGTGGCTGCACTGACACAGCACCAATGACCCACCTGGGTAACAGGATTGTTGGAGCTTGTTGTCTTCACTGTTGCCAGGACTTTGTGTTTCTCCCAAAGCCAGAAGATCAGCATCCACTCTGGGCCCCCTGCCTGACCTATCAGGTACTTGGAGTCAGGGGAGAAAGCCATGCATACAAACTCTTGAACCAGCATATCTCCTGCAGTCAGAACTTTCCTCTTTCTGCCCTGCTCATGCTGNGTGGCAAAAACAAGAGTGTTTTTCTAAATGACACAGGGTCTTTAAATAATAATTTTGTCATTATTTCAACTGTGTAACCTACCAAGTTTAGAACAAAAAGAGGGGCAAGTGTGGCGTTGGGTTGGATAGCGTAGGCTGTCACTGTGGCGGTGGCCTGAACCGTCACGTTGTTGGGTTGAAAAGTAATGATGGGATCTTTCACTGTCTTCACCAACAGTTTCATCATCAGACCTGGAAATTGCTTCGCAATCTTGAAAAACAAAAAAACAAGACATGCATAGTAATACTAATTGTGTACAAATTAGGACAAGTGTTAACGCTTCTAAAATGAGTTGAACGCATTGTCACCTGTGGGATGAAGATTCCAAATGTTTTGGTGTTGAGTCGGAAAGGAGAGCCTTGTGGGATCTGTTGTGACAGAGAACGACGGATCAGCGTGACGCTATGGAAGCAGGTTGCGTTAGAGCAGAGGTTCTCAAACTGTTTGAGCCACGACCCCCAAGAGAACAGAAGTTTGTGTTCGTGACCCCCCAATTTGAATTCTTAATAGAGCATGAGTAACAACTTTGTTGTTCATGAATTAATGCGTTAAAAATTAATTTGTTAATGCCACAGATTAATCTCTTTACATTCACACGTACATTTTCTTTAACATGAATGAATGAATTGAATTGGTTTTGAACAAATGAAAGGGAAAAAAATATAAAAACAAAAGAAAATAATTTTACAAACAGCAAAAAAGAACAATAATAATGTCGCATAATTAAATCATAATATTAACAAATTCAAAAAAGAAGTGGGAATAATACAAATTTGTTTGATAAATGTAGGCTTCATTATTACTTTTTTTTTTTTTTTTTTTCACAATGATCTGGCGACCCCCTGAAATTAACCCTGGGACCCCCATGGGGGTCTCGACCCCCAGTTTGGGAGCCACTGTGTTAGAGTGTTCAGAGGAGGCGGCGTACCATGTCGTCGGTGATGTACAGGCTGAGGGCTCCTGCTTTGTTATAGACGAAGGCTGCAGAGTTGGCGGTGAAGACAGACATGCCGATGTACAACATTCTGTCGATCTGGGGCGGCAGGGAAAAGTCTGCAGGGGAGAACGGAGGCTCCTGGTGCTTCCCAATGTTGTAAAATTCCCCCTAAAAGCCAACAGA